GATAGAGCATTATCTGTAAATTCTACTATGAAAGAGGGATGGATAATTGATTCAGGAGAAACTTGTCATATGACTCATAATCTGCATAGATTGCATTCTGTTTGCAACTTTCCTGATCATTTAAATAGAAGTGTTCACTTACCAAATGGAGAAACTGTGTCTGTTACACATTCAGGAAGTTATAAAACATTAGGAGGAGATTTGTTGAAGAATGTTTTGGTGGTTCCTACGTTCAAATTTGATTTGCTCTCAGTATCACAGTTAACAAAACAGCTACATTGCTCAGTTAATTTCTTTCCTGAGTTTGTTGTTTTTCAGGACCTCTTCCATGGAAAGGTGAAGGGGATTGGTAAGGAAGTGGATGGACTATACTATCTCTCTAATCAAAAACTACATGGAGAAGAGAAGAATAATGAGATGATTATGATGACACACAATAATGAGAATTTGAACAATGCTTTGTTACGGCATAACAGGTTAGGGCATCCATTAGCCAGGGTGTTACAAGAGTTGTCTTTGAATTCTTCAAATTCAAATAATATCTGTAAGAAATGTTCTATATGTCCACTTGCAAAGAAGACTCGACTATCTTTTCCTTTGAGTCTTTCAAAAACTAGTAGTATCTATGAATTGATTCATTTAGATGTTTGGGGACCTTATCATGTGGCAACACATAATGGTTACAGATTTTTCTTGACTATTGTTGATGATAAATCCAGAATGATATGGGTATATTTGATGAAATTGAAAAGTGATGTGTTTCATATTTTACAATCCTTTTGTGTTCTTGTTAAGAATCAATTTAACAAGCACATTAAAAGAATAAGGTCTGATAATGGAGGAGAGTTCTTTAACAAAGAATGTAATGATTTTCTTATTACTCATGGGATTATTCATGAAAGTAGTTGTACATATACTCCACAACAGAATGGAGTTGCTGAAAGAAAATACAGACATATACTTGAAGTATCTAGAGCACTCAAGTTTAATGGTCATATACCTATAAGATTTTGGGGTGAATGTATTCTTACAGCTGTGTATTTAATCAATAGACTACCTACAATAACATTGGAAGGGAAGACACCTTATGAGGTGTTTCACAATGCCAAGGCAGAATTTGATCATTTGAGAGTATTTGGATGTTTAGGATATGTTACCAGATTGCCTAAAGGAGACAAATTTTCACCAAGAGCTGATGCTTGTATATTTCTTGGTTATCCTGCTACTCAAAAAGGCTATCTTATGTACAACTTGATCAGCAGGAGATTTGTAGTAAGCAGGGATGTAGTTTTTAAGGAAGATATATTTCCATTATCAAAAAATGGTTACTAGATAGCTGCCTTTATTTCCTAATTCTTCATTGGATACATATCAGGATGATGATCATAAGGAGTTGAATGACAAGATGAATGACATGGAAACAATTGTCCCACAGGAACAAACATTTCCTGAGATTAACATGCATAATGACAGTGCATGGAATGAAGGCAATGAAGATGTTGGAAACACAGATATGATAAATGAAGGTGCAGAGAACAATGTTGATATTTTAGTACCTGATGTCATTACTGAAAAACCAAGACAATCTCTTAGGAATTCAAAACCTCCCATATGGATGAAAGATTATATTACACAAGTTTCAGATACTAATCAGCCTTATCACTAAGGAAATACATGTCTTATAAAGACATTTCTCCTAGTTATGCAGTATATCTATCCAAGTTTTCTGTTGAAAATGAGCCTAGAAGTTATGAAGAGGCTATTAAAGATAAAAGGTGGGTTGATGAAATGAAGCTAGAGATACAAGCTTTAGAAGAAAATGGTACTTGGGAAGTAGTTAAACTGCCAGCAGGAAAGTCTGCAATTGGATGTAAATGGGTTTTTAAGATCAAATATCAAGCTGATGGGAAGATTGAAAGGTTCAAGGCTAGGTTGGTGGCAAAGGGATACAACCAAACTGAAGGTATTAATTATCAAGAGACATTTTCACCAGTGGTAAAAATGGTGACTGTTAGAGCTATAGTGGCTTTGGCTGCTGCTAAGCATTGGATCATTCATCAAATGGATGTATTTAATGCTTTCTTACAAGGAGATTTGTTTGATGAAGTATACATTAAATTACCTAAAGGATTCAAGATGAAGGAAGAAAACATGGCCTGCAAGTTAGTTAAATCTCTTTATGGTCTTAAACAAGCATCTAGACAATGGAATGCAAAATTGACTAATGCTTTGTGCAGTTCATGGTATATACAAAGTCACTTGGATTATTCTTTATTCACCAAGAGAAGAGATGATGGAATTGTCATTGTTTTGGTTTATGTAGATGATATTTTGGTAACAGGAAATTATGTCAATTTGATAGAAGAAACCAAACATGTGTTGCATAGTTATTTCAAGATTAAAGACTTAGGAGAATTGAAATATTTTTCGGGAATTGAATTTTTGAGATCCAACAAAGGAATAGTTATGAATCAGAGGAAGTATGCTCTAGAAATGATTTCTGAGGTGGGGTTAGCTGCTGCAAAACCAGTAATGACACCACTAGAATGCAACATGAAGTTAACTAGTGTGGAATTTGATGAAGGCAGTGTCACTACTGATGACTTATTTCTAGATATTAACAAATACCAAAGGCTTGTTGGGAAGCTGTTGTACTTAACTAATACAAGGCAAGATATAGCATTTGCAGTACAATCTTTGAGTCAGTTTATGCAGAATCCAAAAAGGTCACATTTGGAGGCAGCATTGAGGGTGATTAGATACATCAAAGTTTAACCAGGAAAAGGGTTGCTGATGAGTGCAGATACAAAATCTCAACTTACAGGATTCTGTGATGCAGATTGGGCTGCATGTCCAAATACTAGAAGATCTGTGACTGGTTTTGTATTGAAGTTTGGTGATTCTTTAATATCTTGGAAGTCAAAAAAGCAAAACACAGTGTCTAGAAGTTCTGCTGAAGCAGAATATAGAAGTTTAGCTACCTTGACTGCTGAGATCGTTTGGGTAAACAATTTGTTTCATGAATTGGAAGTAAAACTAACAGGACCAGCTACCATTTTTTGTGATAGCAAGGCAGCCATACAGATTGCTGCTAATCCTGTATTTCACGAACGGACTAAACATATTGAGATAGATTGTCACTTCATCAGAGAAAAGGTGCAGCAAGGATTAATCAGACCTACATACATACATACAAAAGATCAACAAGCAGATGTACTGACCAAGGCTCTAGGCAGGATTCAACATGAGATCTTAATTAGCAAGCTAGGATTCTTGAACTTGTTCAATACATCCAGCTTGAGGAGGAGTATTGGAGTTGGTTAATTTTATTGTTAGATTGTTTAGTTAGTTAATTAAACTTAAGCTAATTGCTTACTAATAGTTAATTTGTAAATTAGTTAGTTAGTTAGAAAGTTGTTAGCAAGTAGTTAGTTAGTTAGCAAGTAGTTAGTTAGTTACTATTTCAGCTGAATATAAATACTAGTGTAAATGTAATCTAGTTAGTTAATTCACTCAATAAGAATTGTTCTAATTCTTTCACGTTTGTTGTATGAGTTTGAATACAAATGAGATTTGCAAATTTAATGCTCTTCTATGTGACTTTAAATAAGGGGCCTTAGATATGGTAAGTTGAAGATAATCAAACTATTAAAGCTAAGAAGTTGAAGAGAACGAAATTATTAAAGCTAAGAAGATGAAGAGAATCAAATAATTAAAGATATTTTGACTATAAAAAAAAACTCATCAAATCCATACTTAATTGTTGGGAGTATCCTTGTTTTCATCAATTATAATTGAAGGCAATTGAAGCATCGTGCCAACAAACAAGAGTCTATAGGCTTGATTATAATTGTAAGCATTAATGTAGAATATATAGTTGATCTGTAACTATTTTTATTTTCTTAAAAGAAGGGTAAATTATTTTCTTAAAAAAGAATAATATGATAATTTAATTTTTAACTTGAGTTCTGTGCACTTTTAATAACTGACAAAAAAATATCATAAACATAATTTTTACATAATTAAAATAACATTTTATTTTTAGAAGAAAATTTTGAATCATATATTTCCATGTCATATTGAAATAAGCTTTTATAACGAATATTTAAAGTATAATTTTGGATGTTATAAAAATTCCACATAAACGCAATATTAAATACTTAAACTCGTAAAAAATAGCTGTAAATTAACGTTAAATGATGCATTTTTTTCTTTAAGGATACGAACCATTATTTTGTATTTATCAATAAACTATTGGATTTTTTGTAATCATCATACACTAAGAAATTCATCAATCACCTAATATCATTCACCAGTATTCCTAATTTGAATTTATTTGACTAATTTAATTCGGGATATTCATCTACTATTGATGTATAATTAATTAGATAATTCATAATATTTTAATTTAGTTTAGGAGTAAAATGATAATTCAACTTTATACTTTGGAGCTTCTCATTCTTAATAATATATCGATATGATGATGGTTATACATTGTTTTATCAATCATAATTTTTAAAAATTCTTCCATTGTGAGAATAATGATTATGATTAAAAGCAATATCAATGCGCTCATTTATCAAGAAATAAAGATTTACATTATTAATGGGCTTAAGGACTTAAATAATACCATACTGTAATTAAAATATATTTGTATTTAATTAAAGAATTAATCAAATTTTAATTTAATAAAAGGGCAAAATGGTAATTCAATTTTTCACTTTGGTCATGATATGATTATGACTTTGTATCTTTTCATTCCTTTACTTGTTGCTCAATTCCAACAATGTCCCCACTAATTTTCAACTTCCTATTCTTCTTACTGTTATGGCTCTCAAACTGTTGTGCACAAGGAAATGAGAGTGATCATTTGGCCCTGATTTCCTTTAAAAATGCAGTAATATCAGATCCACTTAACATCACAGCTTGTTGGAATGAATCTACTCATTTTCTGCAGCTGGATCGGCATAACATGTGGCAACAAACACCGTCGAGTCATTATGATTGTCTTGAACTCTAGTGAATTGGTTGGTCCATTGTCACCAGCAGTTGGTAATCTTAGTTTCCTCAGGGTACTCTGGCTCAGCAGAAACAGTTTCACTGGCCAAATCCCTGGAGAGATAGGAAAGCTATCGAGATTACGGAGGTTGAACATAGCAAACAATTCATTTTCTGGTGAAATACCAACAAACATATCGCGGTGCTCCAATCTCAATTATATTCATTTAGGTAATAAGTATTCCAACAGAGTTGAGTTCATTGAATAAACTTGAGAATTTGCTACTTCACAAGTTCCAGCTTATCTAGGTAATCATTGTTCACTCTTGGCAATTACATTAGGTGATAATCAATTACATGGAAAGATACCTGATATTTTTGGTGGACTAAGAAATTTGGTGTTTCTTGATTTTGCTTTGAATTATCTGTCTGGTGAGATTCCTATGTCTGATTTTCAACTTGTCGTCGTTGCACACACTTTAGATAACTTTTAATAAACTTGAAGGGGGTCTTCCATCAGATATGGGGTTCAATCTTCCAAGTTTAAAGTTCATTCACATTGTGGGAAATCAACTGACAGGAAAGTTTCCTACTTCAGTACTGAATTCCACATGACGGGAATAATTTTACTGGACAAGTACCTGCCTTTGGAAACCAAAAGAAGCTTGGACTTGCTGAAAATCATTTTGGAAATGGGATGTTGGATGATATGAAGTTTATGTACTCCCTACAAAATTGTACTAGTTTAGAGCAGCTAATATTGGAAAAACAACAATCTTGGAGGAGTATATAGGCAACATGTCCAATCTTTTGCGGCTTTCTGTAGGCGGAAATATTCCCATAGAGATTTTACAGCTTGAAAACCTGCAAGTACTTGGTCTTGAGAAAAATAATTTTACTGGTATGACTCCTGAGTCTATTGGACAACAAAGGAAACTTAGAAGGTTATACTTTGACCACAACAGATTTTCAGGTGAGATTCCACATTCTCTTGGAAACTTGACGAGGTTGATTGAACTAGATTTGGGATCAAACAAGTTGCAAGGTACTGTGCCTTCAAGTCTTGGAAGCTGCAAGTTCTTATCACGTTTGTATCTGAATGGAAATCAACTTAGTGGTCTTATACCGAAAGAACTGTTTGAGCTCTCCCTTATAGAGTTTGATCTCTCAAACAACCACTTGACAGGGCATTTTCCTGTAGGGATTGGCTCTGGAAACTTGACTAGATTGATAAACTTGATCTACATGAACCATTCATATAAGAATTTATCAGGTGACTAGTTTGAGGGAGTTATACCTTGGTAACAATGACCTTCAGGGAGTTATTCCTGCATCTTTGAGTTCTTTGAGAAGTCTTGAATATATGGATCTTTCTCATAACCACTTTGTAGGGAGGATCCCAAAGTTTCTGGATGAACTTGTCACCTTGCAGTTCTTAAGTTTGTCTTATAATGATTTGGAGGATGAGGTACCTTAGAAGCTTTCAGAAACATGAGTGTTGTTTCACTTGTTGGGAACAGTGAGCTATGTGGTGGTATTCCAGAGTTCAAAATGCCAAAGTGCAGCAACAAAGTAGCGTCAAAAAGACACAGGTTATCTCATAGATTGATAATAGTAATGCTGGTTATTGGAGGATTATTGGCAGCAACAACAGTGGCCCTTTTTATTTTCTTGTGTGCTAGAAGAAAAAAGAGGTCCACTTCATCAGAGAATTCATCGTTGGATGTGATCCCAAGAGTGACTTATAATAGTCTTCACAAAGAAACTAATGGCTTCTCTATGTCAAACATGATTGGTTCGGGTGCACTTAGCTTCGTATACAGAGGCATTCTTGAGGAAAATGGAAAATTTGTTTTTATAAAAGTGCTCAAACTCCAAGTTACGGGAGCTTCTAAGAGCTTTCTTACTGAATGTGAAGCACTAAGACATATCAAGCATAGAAACCTGGTAAAACTCTTAACATCATGTTCAAGTATCGATTACCAAGGTAATGACTTCAAGGCTCTCGTTTATGAGTACATGGCCAATGGTAATTTGGCAAATTGGTTGCACAATAGAAGTACAGAAGGTGAAGAAAATCATGAGCCTAAAACTTGGAACATACTACAGAGACTCAATGTAATAATTGATGTGGCTTCTGCATTAGATTACCTTCATCATCAATCTGGAACTCCATTGACACACTGCGATATCAAACCAAATAATGTGCTTTTGGATGAAGATTTTGTGGCTCATTTAGGTGACTTTGGACTAGCAAGGTTTCTGCCTGATGCTGCAAAGCTGCTCTCCTTAAGCCAATCAGCCAGCTCTCTCAATATAAGAGGAACTATTGGATATGTTCCACCTGGTAATTAACTCTCCTCCCTTTCTAAACATCACTTTATATTTATGAAGGTCCTATTACTTATCAAGTTTGTCATTGTTGCGGAATCCGAATATATAGAGAGTGATGGAATCACAACTGCTATATCTAAATGTAGCTAATAAATAGTAAATGAGACAACAATAGAAAGAACGCCAGAAATTAACGAGGTTCGGCAAACTTTTGTTTTCTTTTGCCTAGTCCTCGGACACAACCAACCAATATTTATTTCACTCCAAAAGAGTACAAGTGAAATACTACAAGAGAGAAAGAAGAACAAATGTCTTAGGAGATGAGAAGGCAAGTTAGGGTGTTTTACAAATGAATTAGGAGCTACCTATTTATAGGAGTGAATTCTTCCTATTGATGTCATCCATGACATCACAATATGTCAAAATGTCAAGATTTACCTTGTGACATCAATTTATGGTTCAGCTAAATTTCACCTACAAAAGGTGCTATCTTGACTTTTCTACCAATGAAGAATTATCCTCCTAACTACCATATCTTCTCATTAATCCATTTTGAATCTTGTCAAACTTAACAAATCTCCACCTTGGCAAGATTCTCCATTTTCAACTTCCTCTCAACAACAATTTTGATTGTGTCTTCAACCTTAATCTTCAATGTTCAACAATGTTGATCAAGTTCAAACAATGTTGAAACTTGACCGCAGACACAACTTTTGTCAACATATCGGCAGGATTATCTATAGTATGAATTTTTTGCATTATGACTCCACCATTTTCTATGATTTCTCGTATGAAATGATATCGGACGTCAATGTGCTTCGTCCTTGCATGATAAACTTGGTTCTTTGCTAATTGAATAGCACTCTGACTATCACAAAATATTGTGATTTCTTCTTGTTCAATACCAAGCTCTCTAAGCAATCCTTGAAGCCAAATTGCTTCCTTCACAGTCTCTGTAATTGCCATGTACTCTGCCTCAGTGGTAGACAAAGCAACTGTTGACTGCAAAGTAGACTTCCAACTAACTTGTACATTTGCAAATAGTGAAAACATAACCAGTAGTTGATCTTTGTTTGTCCAAATCACTTGAATAATCTGAGTCACAATATCCAACAAGATATTGACTATCTTTCTGCTCGAAAATCAAACCAACATCTACAGTATTATGAATATACCGTAGAATCCATTTTACAGCCTGCCAATGATCCTTTCCAGGATTGTGCATGTACCTGCTTACAACTCCAACAGCGTGTGAAATATTTGGCCTTATGCAAACCATTGCATACATCAAGCTACCAATAGCATTAGTGTATGGTACTCTTGACATATATTCTCGTTCAACTTCATTATTACGTGACATATCATCACTAAACTTAAAATGAGGATCAAGCGGAGTGCTAACCGACTTCGTTTTATAATTCATACCGAATCACTTTAGTACTCTCCTCAAATATTCCTTTTGAGATAAATAGAGTTTCTTTGAATGTCTATCTCTTTTTATCTCCATGCCAAGAATCTTCTTTGCCTCACCCAAATCCTTCATCTTAAACTCCTTTCTTAGTTGAATCTTTAGCTTCTCAATTTCCTCTTGACTCTTAGAAGCTATCAACATATCATCAACATATAGGAGAAGGTATATAAAGGAATTATCTTCAAGCTTGCGCAAATACACACAATGATCGTATTTGCTTCTTATGTACCTTTGCTGCAACATAAACTTGTCAAATCGTTTGTACCATTGTCTAGAAGATAATTTCAATCCGTACAATGATTTTTCAAGTTTGCACACCATATTTTCTTTTCCATCAACTTTGAATCCTTCTGGTTGAGTCATGTAGATTTCCTTTTCCAAGTCTCCATGTAAAAATGCAGTTTTTACATCCAACTGAACTAGTTCCAAATTTAACTGTGCTACCAAAGCCAACAAAACTCTAATGGAGGAGTGTTTCACAACTGGAGAAAACACCTCATTATGATCAATTCCCTCCTTTTGAGCATATCCTTTGGAAACCAATCTTGCTTCGTAGCGAACATCTTCTTGGTTAGGAAATCCTTCTTTCTTTGCAAATACCCATTTGCACCCAATTGCTTTCTTGCCCTCTGGGACATTGACCAATCTCCATGTATGATTCTGATAAAGGGACTGTATTTCTTCATCCATGGAAATCCTCCACTTATCTTCTTCTGAACTTTGGACTGCGTCTTTATAAGTGGTAGGAATGTCATCAGCTGCAATTGAGTCCGCACAAGCCACCATATCTATGAGTCGATCATGTTTTCTTATTGTCCTTTTTGGCTTGCCGGTTGCTATTGATTCAAGTTGTGGTTGAGGTTCTTGAGATAAAACCTCCTCTTCGACTGGCTCTCCTTTAAGAGGAAAATTTTTTGTTGTTTCCTCGTTTGATCCCTGTGTTGGGAAAATTATCTTTCCCTCAAACTCCACCTACTTTGAAGCACCATCAATTTGTTTGGCTTCTTCAAGTGTTACCTTATTTGTTAAGGTAGATTCATCAAAGGTAACATCCCTGCTGAAAATAACTTTTCTTGTCTCTGGACACCATAAATGGTATCCTTTGACTCCAGAAGTAATTCCCATGAATAAAGCTTTCTTTGCTCTTGGGTCCAATTTTGACTCTCTTACATGATAATATGCAATTGAGTCAAATACATATAAAGAACCATAATCTTCAGCAGGTTTTACATACCATTTTTCAAATGGTGTCTTCCCACCAATACAAGCAGATGGTAGACGATTAATGAGGTAGCACGCATATGTTATTGCCTCAGCCCGAAATTCTTTTCCCAAGCCAGCATTGGAGAACATACACTGAACTTTCTCCAGCAAAGTTCGGTTCATGCGTTCTGCCACTCCATTCTGTTGTGGTGTTATTTTGACGGTGAAATGTCTAATGATGCCATTTTCCTCACAAATTTTCTGAAAAAGATCATTTTTGTATTCGCCACCATTGTCTGTGCGAAGACATTTGATCTTTCTGCCACTTTGAGTTTCTATCATCGCTTTCCATTTGAGAAAAAATCTCAATACTTCATCTTTTGTTTTCATCGTATACACCCATAATCTTCGAGAAAAGTCATCAACAAAGGTTACAAAATAGTGTTTCCAACCTAATGAAGGTGTTTTGGAAGCACCCCAAACATCCGAATAAACATAATCCAAAATACCTTTAGTATTATGGATAGTTGTTCCAAATTTAACCTGTTGAATGCCTTGAATCGGACCCGTTACAACAGAAAGAACGGGGGTCAGTTTGGGCCCTTAATTATCTGTCAATTCTGTATTTTGGGCCTAAGCCTGTTAGGGCGTAGTTTAGCACTATATATAGACGCTATGGCAAACCCTATTCTGTAATTCTGTTTTTTGCCTCTCCATAATAAAACTGCTCCCCCTCTTCCCCGTGGACGTAGCCAATTTATTGGTGAACCACGTAAATCTGCTGTCGTGTTTTTCGCATTTATATTTTCTCGTATTATCTCGAATTCCGCATAACAAATTGGTATCAGAGCCTCTCGGTTAATCGGTGTTCTTGGAGAATTCGAGATGTCTGCTTTGAACGTGAAAATCGACAAATTCACAGGGAGGAACAATTTCAGTTTATGGCAGATCAAGATACGGGCTTTGTTGAAACAGCAAGGCTTCTGGGCGCTGTTGTCGAAAGACAAGAACGCCGTCGTTACTCCTGAGATGGCGATTTTGGAGGAAAAGGCGCACTCGACGATCATGCTGTGTCTCGCGGATGACGTCATCACAGAGGTCTCGGATGAAGAGACTGCTGCTGGTCTATGGTTAAAGCTGGAGAGTTTGTACATGACAAAATCTCTAACCAACAAGATGCTTCTGAAACAACATCTATTCGGTTTACGAATGGCTGAAGGTACACAACTCAGGGAACATTTAGAGCAATTGAATACTTTGTTATTAGAATTACGTAATATCGATGTGAAGATCGAGGATGAAGATGCTGCCTTGATTCTGTTAGTATCTCTCCCAATATCGTTTGAGAATTTTGTTCAATTGTTCATTGTTGGGAAAGATACTGTGTCGCTAGAAGAAGTCAGATCGGCCCTTCATAGTAGGGAATTACGGCATAAGGCTAACGGCACAAGTACGGACATACAGCCTTCCGGTCTGTTCACCAGTAGCGGAAAGGGAAGGAAAAACAGCGGAAAGAAAAATAAGCCGATGTCGAAGGGTGCAAAGCCAGATGATGTTTGTAATTACTGCAAGGAGAAGGGACATTGGAAATTTGATTGTCCGAAGAAGAAGAAGCAATCGGAAAAACAATCAGTTTCTGCTGTTGTTGCTGAAGAAGACACCAATTCTGAAGAAGACATTGCCCTAGTTGCGGATCAGCACACTCATCATTCAGATGTGTGGGTTCTCGATTCTGGGGCATCCTATCACATCTGTCCTAGGAGAGAGTGGTTCACGACTT